CCTAGGCCCCTAGGGACACGAAGAGACAGATGTAGTGATTGATAAATGGTCATGAACACAATGTAAATTACCAGTAACTGACAAATAAATTGTCCGTTACTAGTAATCCACTAATCAACCCGTGGATGATGGCATGAAGACCATATTAGTTACTAGTGAGTGACAAATCAATTATCCGTTACTAGTAACTCACTAATCAACCACTAAGTCTCCTTGAAACATCCCCTAATGGCTATTAACACGTCATGAGTTTCACCTAGCATTAATCCTAGCCATGAAATTTCTTTTGATTTAATTACTAAATGTAATTGGTTAATTCCAATTAAATCCAACAATAATTAGCACAGACAAGGGCCCACCTCGCCCACGTCGCAAGACTCACGTCGAAGAATTCCGCCCCATCTTGGGCTTTGTTCGCTTGAGCTTATAAGACAGACTCAGCCCTACTTTTCAGCTATAGAATAATATTTTTCTCTCATAATAAATCAGCACTGCAAATCAGCCGCAGCAGTCCGATCAAACAGAGCCTTCGCCGGCAACTGGCAAGCAGGAGTTTCTAAAAAAAAAACTGGCAAGCAGGTCGATCGAGGAGACTTTCAGCCCCAACTTTAGACTAGCTACAACGTTCAGAAGGGGTCCACGCCGAAGCCTCAGTGGTGAACTGGTGGTCAAATCAGATATGATTTTTGTCCTGCCGTCTGTCAACCTGTATCAATCAGGTTGGTTGTCTGATCTACTACTCCGTAGGTGAAAATTGTGGGGGAACGTGTGACATTGTGGTACAAAGATATTTGATATTTTTTCAATTAAAATTTGACCTTTGGTAAGAACAATTACATCGAGTAAAACTGAAATTCATGGGAAGCCTAATCTGTTCATTTGTTCTTTAGTCATGTTGCGATTCAATCGAGATGGATGATACGTTGAGGGATCTGGTTCGGCCAATTCATAAGTCGCATTCAAATCTTAAATCATTCATAAAAAGTTTTCAAGGCACCAACCAAGCAAACAGTTCGACTTTCTTGGAAGTTTAAGCTTCCAAAGGAATTTATAGAAATATAGAATAAATTTAAGTCTTCAAGGAGGTTTATGTTTGTAAACTTCAAAAGGAATTCATAGAAGCAAAAATTCAAGAAGTCAAGAGCAAGACACAAGATGGGCGTTGGGTGCTCACTCACTATCATATACCGGTGTCCATTCCGTTCTTTTCTCTCTCTAGGAATAGAACATTTTTTTTTGAAGGAATAGGAATAGAACATTTTCATGTACTATACTGAACTTTAATAAAATATATAAATAAAGCTACCTAAGAATTAATTATATACTAGAAAGACCGGCGCGGCTTTGCCACGCCCACTTTAAAGATTGGCCAGTTCATCTCTTTGATGCGTTGCTGGATTTCTAGTTACTGGGACTGCTATAGCGATTTACATTCTTGATTAATCTATACTGAGTTTATACATCAAAATATGTATTTTGGTTTACTATCTACTTATGACCAAAATTGTAACACTACCAGTGAAGTTTGATCATATTTGGTGCTAACAAGTTGTGGCCAAAATTATATTTATTTATATTATAACACTACCTCTTGAGATATTAGACGAGCCTTGAACCTCAACACCAGATCTTGGCACGTGGTGGGTTCAATTGCACGAAGTACTGCCCTGACTTCCTCCTCTGTAATGGGTGAGGATTCTCTTCTTTCTGAAAGAGATGATTTAATGTTGCTTTTAATGTTCTGTAAAATGTACAAGATTACTGTAAATTAGTAAATGGTTGCTACCCAGTGGCGCCACACCAGAAGGGCCTGAATGCCTTATCAATGCAGATGAGCACAACACATAGGCAAGGCAGATGAGCCTACAATTAAGACGATGAGTCTATCCTTAACTCTGAAGAATAATACCATAGATTATCTTATTTCCTTTTGCTGTTTTCACTTGGCAGAGCATGAAACCTGATGCTTCCATGAATGATGCATTTACACATTAATTTAAGCACTGTCGCATAGATCAATCTCGAGAAGAGATTTTTGATACATGCCTGTCTAACCTAAGCTGTTTGCTCTCGCCGGCGATGGTGTACCAAGTTTGACCTCATACTTGATAAGTAAGACAAAATCAGTTCAGTTATTGGAAGATGTCTATTTGGCTGATTGTAGGTAACATCAAGAATAGAATGTTTTGAACAGGAGGGACCAAGATATCTGAAGTAGTTAGCAACCATAGTTTAAAAGGCGGTTAGGCGTCCAGGCGAGTGCTTGGTACGCCTGGACGCCTAGGCGACGCCTAGGTGGCGCCATGAAAACTATGTTAGCAACTCAGCATTGCATTATCAGTGTTTATGCCGAATTTTATTACCTAAGGAAACACTGACTCATGCCCTAAAGAGACCCAGCGAATGCATCATTTGGATATAGTTTTGGGAAAAAAACCCTAAACCAAATAGGTTGATTTGGTTAGGAAGAGAGTACCAGAAATTGGATTCATGAGACCAGTTGAATGATGAAAAATAGAGAAAGAGAAGAGCACACATGTAGGGAAAAAAAGAACTTAACTCTCCACTTCATAGTCAGGAAACTGTCTTATTATTGCTGCCATTGCACATCAATCCAATATTATTGTTGCCACTGTCGAGAAACCACTGTCACCAGTCTAGGTTCGAAGGCTGGCACAAACTTCTTAATTGCCTGAATGATGAAGATGGGAGAGTGCAGCAGGCTGGCGTGCATGAACCTACACCATGATGCTCGGTTGCTTGCTATTCAGTGACCGGCATCGTGGGTGACTTGTTTTGCCGATGATTTGGCACACCTTGATGTCGAGTTGCTTCCTCTTTGGTGACTGGTGTGGTGGGCGACTCCTTGTTTCTTTGATGATCCGGTGACGCTTTCGCTCATCTGTAACTGAATAATTTTAGATGTTAAAAGACAAACCTGTAATAATCATCTAATTCCAAAAGGAATGCAGAACACATTATTCAGATAACTATAGGTAGTCCCTAGTTTATAAATAGAAACAAAACCAAGAAAGATTCCTGCAGGAAGAGGACACATAGAAGCAAATAGCAAATGACTTTTCAAGTGATAAATTAGAACATTGTGCTAATTTCTATATTGTAGCTAAAACTTACCTTGGCTGAAGGACAAAGAAACTGTAGCAGGAACCTGAAGTGCCCACATAATCCATGTCAGAAATAACTACTTGTAAGATGGAAATTACAAATTCTTAATAGCATTCAGGTGTACCATATAGGCTTAGAATGATATCAGTCTCCCAAGACTATGGAGTTGCATCACATAATTTATTGTGAGGGACAATTTATAGAACTATGAGCATCAAATGTATTCAAATATTTATTTAGGCCAGATAGCCAAAACAAAAAAAAATCAATAATATTTAATGGTGTAGCTTCTATTTCAGCCAGACTACACAAACACTATTCTAAAGTCTAAACAACAAAGTCAATCTAAACTGAATGATCGGGCTAATTCATGTAATCGATTCTTGTGCAACCACAAAAATCAGGAAGATGGCTCATCACGCAGAGTAAGAAGATGCAGAAAAGGGAACTAAAAGGTACCACCTGGCTCATCAAGGCAAGGACTTAGTTTTGGTTCATCACGCAATTCTGTAGGGAAGTGACTCACTGCTTCTAATAGCTTGTCTTTCTTTAATCTGAATTTTCTCAAGCAAATGTTTTTCTCTGAAACTTATCTCAAAGCAAAGGTCTGAAGATCCAATTTTTTTTCCCAGAATCTGAATAACGTCCATTCACGTCCTTTCATAACTATGTCAGGACCTGCTATTTATTTGATGAAACTGAAAATTCTGAACATTGTCCATTCAGTAACCCAGAACAACGGATCATTTTCAGTACCTGCTGTTTATCTGCTAATTAATTCAGCAATTGAATCATCCTATCTGATTCATCCGTTCAATAGCTCAAAACTATGCACAGTGAATCCGGTCAGCTGGAGCACGAAGCCTGCACCTGCCGGGACCGTGCGGCTGCCTGGAGCGGACCGTGCGGCTGCCTGGAGCCTGGTGAGGTGATGCCGCAACGATGCGACTCGCCACTCGCCAGCCGCCTGGTGCCGCCGCAGCCCGCAATGGAGTGCTCGCGGGGCCGGGGACTCGCGGTCGCCGTCTAGAACTCTAGATGCGGGCCCGAGGGACTCGTGCCTCCGGGGGAAGTCGCGCCGCCGGAGGGAAGTCGAGTCCGTCGAGCTGGAGCTTGGTGTTGGCGTCAGGGGAAGGTGCCGCCGGGAGTCGCCGCGACGGGTGGGGGACGCCGCGATCAAGCGCAGAAGGGGAGGCGGGCGATGGGTGGGAGCAAGTTGGACGCGACGGCCGACTCACCGACGCCGGGCGAGGAGAGAGTGGAGGAGGAGGTCGCCGGGTGCCATTTTGGACGCCAAGGAGGTGAGGGACGAGGTCTGCGGCCATGGCAATGGGAAGGGAGTCGGAGCCGGTGGACGAGCCGGGTGCCGCAGCCGCGCCGTTCTGCGCCGCGCCGCCGCTCGGTGGCCGAGCCGCCACTCCGGGCAGTTGGGGCCCCGCCCGCCTGCCGGATGGCCGGGACCGAGCGTCCATGGGCGCGTCCGCGCCAAGGCCGGATGTCTCGCTGGTTGCGGCGCCCGTGCCGCCCGCTAGCTCGATGGATGAGCCAAGAAGGTTCCCGAGGTTTCGGGTTTACAATGAAACGGGTATAGACCAAACCGATCCACAATCGAACGGCCACCATCGCAAGTTCGCCAGATCGAACGGCTTGCGGCTTAACGGGCGACGTGGCACGATGGTTAGCCCGCTTTTGGAAGTAGGATTAGTATATAGAGATATGATTTATTTACATATAATTTCAGTCATAATCATTCTAAATATATGCAAAGTTAAATGAAAGTTAGAATATAGTTCAACAACATATCAAAATAAGATGTTAGCACTCGATTTTATTTTAGACGATACCGGTATGGTACTGCCAGCGCGAGCTCACAGTCACAGACGAGATGCCGCCGCCGTCGGCGTCGCCATCCCCAGGTTCGCTGCCGGCTTCAGCAAAGGGTCGGATTCGACCACCTCCATGAGACGTGGCCACATCCTGGTGGCGCCGAAGAACCACGACCCGTCGCCGCTGGGGCTGGGCACCACCGTCACCGACGCGGACCCCAGCCGGCCGTGGCGCACCCACGGCATCACGAGGCTGGGCTTCCCGAACCCGAGGTCCCCGTCGATGGCGAACGGGAGCAGCCCGGAGATGATGAGCGCGGGGCTCCCGAGCCCCAGGTTCACCGCCTCCGTCCACTTGCCGCCGTCCCTGAACGCCGCCTTCCGCTCCTCCATCCAGTCCGCCAGATCCTGGAACCGCGCCGCGGTCATGACCCCCGCGATGGCCGCGCGCACCGTGGCCGCCACCTCGGGGAGGGCGCGCGCAGCAGCTCCGCCACGCTCGCCTCGCGGGCCGTGTACGTCACCACGTTCCCGATGTAGCGGTCCAGCGCGCCGTCCCACGGCTCCACCTGCTTCCGCCCGTCGACGATCCACGCCATCCGGCAGCTGGGGTTGGCGTCGCCGACGGCGCGCGCGAGGAGCTTCCACACGTGCGCGCACAGCGCCACGAACCGCGACGCGCGGCTGCCCCCGCCGCCGGGAGACGACGCCGCGGCCTGCAGCGCCGCGAGGTCGGCCGCGTCGATGCGGTACAGCCGCCGCCGGATGGTCGCGGTTAGGAGGGGATTGATCATGGTCTCCGGCGTGAACCGGGCGAACTCGGCGTCCAGCGACGCGCTGTACCGCGGCGGCGACCGCGGCTTGAACAGGGACCGGTCGAGCAGGGGCTCGCGGGAGAGGCCGCCGTCGCGGATCATCTCGGCGAGCGCTGTCAGCAGGAAGGTGAACGCCCGGCCGTCCGCAAGGAGGTGGCTAGTGGCCAGCGTCTGCGCGAACCCGCCGCACGCGAACCGGACCAGCTGCACTGACAAGGCGAGGGTCGCGTCGAAGGGTATCTGGATGAGCCCCAGCGACTGGTCGACCTCCGAGAAGTCAACGGCCGCGAGCGGCACCGCGGCGTCGGCGACGACGAGCTCGGCGCCGGCGTTGTTGCAAACGACCTCGGGGATCTTGGTCTCCGGGTCGAGAACGACGCGGCCGGCGAAGGGGAAGAGGCGGGAGAGGTAGGACGGCAAGGTGGCGCGCACGGTGGCGAGGACCGCGTCGAGGCCGGCGGCGGGGGCGGCGTAGATTGAGACGAGGAAGATGGGGAACGGCCCGAGGACGAGGTCGAGGTTGGAGACGGTGAGGACGGAGGGGAAGCCCGGCGGCGGGTGCGAGGCACGGACCAGCGTCCGGGAGGCGATCTCGAGGTGGAGGTGCCTGACCGCCATTTCGCCGAGCAGGAAGAGGGCGTGGCGTCGGGGACCTTGGACGGGGATGGATTGGACTACCGGAAGTGCGATGCTGACCTGGCGCCGACAACACAGGCAACTCTTCTGGTGTGTGTGTGATGCACTTTTGCTATAGGTCGGACGCAAATAGCAATTGGTGGATACATTTTCTTTTGCTGTATGAATGGGCCCACAATAAAAGTGTACACAAAAAAAATGTACTGTACACACCATTTTAGATATCTATGTGAGCAATTCTCTATTACGACGTCCTCAACGGCAATGTTAAATCGCCGGCTTGAAAACAATAAAAAAAATAGAAAAGCATGCAGCGTTTTCACGAGATGGCGGAGGGGCTGTGAAAGGAAGTCTTCTAGCAGTATGTGCGCGACTAGCGAGTCCGCAGGTGTTAGCACCGTGTTCTCCCTCCTCCGTGGCCAATAAAATCTTATCAAGACTAAACGGTCGGGACGCCCTCAGACTATCTCCAACGACATCGTTCAAAATACAAGATCCATTTTATATTTGATATCGCTATAGACAAATAGTTTAATATCTATTTTTGTCTTCTCCAGTAACAAGACCTAGAAGAGAACCCTTTCTTCAAATAAGTCTCCAAGAGAGATATACTTATATTTGGGTTGTGCCTCTGCTGTAACCCAAAATGGGTCTTGCATATAGTTATTCTGTTGAAGGCTGATACAGTACCATTCACGATCCATTTTGGGTTTGGGTCTCCATATGAGTCATCTATTGGAGATAGTCTTAGAGGATGAGGATGAGGATGAGATTAGTTTAACACGGATTTAAAAGGAAAAAGTTACCCTCATTCAATGAGTGGCTATGGTGAGAGAGATAGCAACTGCACATCACAAATTTCTCGTGGGGAATTCTTTGTGAGGGGATGATGATAGAGATGGTTTAGTCCTCCATGGAGAATGAAATGGGGAAAACAATCCTCATCGAGTTTTATGCCGTCCTAGTTGCTCTCAAACCACCTTGTAAAGCACAATCCTTATGAGGGCCTTAGCCTGTTAGAAGCCCTATCTCTCAATTCCTACATCACCTATGGACACACCCGCCGTCGCAAACCTATAGTTTCTTGCAGCCTGCCCACACGTGTTCTTGACACCGCAAAGCCACCGGTCGCTGCAAGCTCTGCACTAGAGATCGAAACGGGCCCCAATCCCTGGTGGGGATTTCATCTATTAGGGGACATAGATGAGAAAATTTTGATCCCCGCTGGCGTCTTAACAGACCAAAAGGGATCCCATCGGGTGAGGCGGGGCTAGGAATGTTCCCTTCGTCCCCGTCCTCGATCCCCGTTTTGTTATGACTAGCACACAAGGCAAGGCCCAATAATTTAGTGGCCTAGTTTGAAGCCCAACTATGAAGTATAAAAGGAAAGTTTTCCTGGTAACCCTAGCTTCAATTCCTTCCTACCTCCTAGCCGTCACCGAGCGGCAGAACAGATGCGATCGCCGCTCACCCAGTTCTCCTTTCCCTCGAAGCAACTTGTGAATCGTGAGCGAGGAGCGACCAGCCACCAACGAGACTAGGGAAAGGAGGATCGAGTGAGCGGCGGCCGTCACCCGAGCGGCAGAATAGGCACGGCCGCCGCTCACTCGGTCCTCCTTTCCCTCGAAGTGACTCGTGAATCACGTGCAAGGAGTGACCTAACCACCAGCTAGACTGTGAGGCGGAGGGGAGGAGAGAGAGAGAGAGAGAGTCATCGCAACCTACAAGAGAGAGTTCTCATGGCATCACCGTCAAGATCTGCAGCCGGCGTGGAAGATGGCCGGTGAAGAACTTCTTCATCCTCTAGTTCTTAATCCCAACTTGCAGCTCCTTCATCTCTCCTAGTAGCTCGTCGTTTACTAACTACTAACCCCATTCCCATGTGACCGTCCCTCCTCAAGGGACGCCAAAGCATCTGACTGTCCCACCACCAGATCCAGCTCCGGCACCAATGGATCCCGCCACCGATGCACTAGAACCAAACAAGACCGCCACCGCCGTACCGGTGCCGGTCGCTATTGCTGCTCAAGCTCGACATTCAACCAGCAAATCCTAGCTAGCCACCACTGCTGGACGTCGATCAAGTCGACCTACTATTAGATCCAAGGTTGAGAAGAAAAAAGGTCCACCGACATCATCCACTAAAGCCATCGTTGCTACAGGTGACTCGAAGCTCGTTCCCCAACCACCACTGCCCAGGGGTTCTAGCCTGAAGCACCCCTACTTGAAGACAGCTCCAACCGACAAGCATAGGTTAGTACTTACTATATTTACATTACATCTTTTTATTGTTGGCATGTTGTAGTAGGCAGTGGTTTACAGTAGCTTTTGATCTAGGGATTCAAGATAGTAGGCATGTTGTAGACTGTAGTACTAATTATGCTATGTTGTAGTAGGTAGTGCTAAGCGATTTATGCTATAGTTTCCTTGTTAAATCATTTTTGTATATTGTCTTGCGGCGATTAATTGGGGATGGGGTCCCCATCGGGGCTGATATCCCCATTTGGGGACAGGGACGAGGAGCGAGAGATTTCTGTGTCGCGGGGATCAAAACATTCCGTCAAAACCCGACGGGGATAGCCCCATTGCCATATCTACTTTGCACTGCCTCTGTGGCTCCCCACGGGAAGTCTAAACTCTGCTACTCAGGTGGCGCTATGGTGGACGGTGCCTCCGCCACTATATTCACATGGGCACATGAGGTTGGGAGCTTTAGATTTGGTGCTGAGTCGATGCCTCTATGTCTGTATCGCCATGAATTCGTCTTCCCCATCAGTGGCCACACCCTTGAGCCAATGGTGACAAAGGAATCATTCATCTTCCTCGTCTATTTGGTATGTTGGCTATTGCTTAGTTTCACATGAGGATCAGGGTAGAAAGAGCCTTTTAGCTATGAAAATCACGTTCTTAGTGTTGACTTTAATTTTGGAATTAGTCTATTAGCTAATTGTATTAGTGTTGACTTTGCCCATTGTAAAAGTCACATTAGAAAGAGCCTTTTAGCTATGAAAAAAAATCAAGAATGACTTCATAATTAATATTGGGATTGATTGGTACGGTCACAAATTGCTTGTCTCTCAAAATAGATTTATAGAGGTGGTAAAAAATAGTTTGTCTCTCAAAGGACATTAACAGAGATGGACCTCTTAAGAGGCTTGTCTTTGAAAATAGGCCCGAGGCCCAAGAGGTCTGTTACCTGTGTTCATGTATATATACGTGAATTAGGGTTTGAATGCTCCTCAGCTTTGTCTCTCAATCAGCTCTCTCAGCTCTCTCAGATTTAGACCCTCTCTCATCTCTCTTGGAGTAGGGCGACACTGACGACAGCCTCAGCGTCGTTGGTGGCTACGTGAGGCTTTCTAGCGGTGGTTGCCGTGCAGGGCCCTTCCAGTGGCGGCAGACCTACGGCGGTAGGCGCTCATGGGGGGCCCTCTCGACGATGGTGGATCTGCGGCAAGTGCACGTGCGTGTCACATCTGACCTAGTTTGGAGTTTGGCCCAGAGTGGCCCATGTGCATGTTAATATGATATTGTGGGGGTGGGGTGGGGGAGGTTAGTCCCATCTTGGTTGTTTAGGGTGGGTTAGACTAGCACATAGGGCTTCTAGAATCCATCCCACTATCCCCGAGTTAATCCTTTTATGTGAAGCGAGGACGAAAGCGCAAGTGGGATGGTGGTAGGTGTGGTTCACTCAGCGTGTAGAGTGGATCTAAGTTGTTTGGACTCTAGGGCGTTACAAATGGTATCAGAGCTGACCTTCGCGGCCACGGGCGCGTGCGGGTCAGGGGCGTGGACATGGTCTTCATTGCGCGTGTAGGCCCTACGGGGTGCACGACATGGTACATGTGCTGACATTGGACGTACGGTCGCATGTGCTAAGAGGGAATGTTCCTGGTCATCGTTTGCCTGGTTGTGGGTGTGTTGTACGGTCAGCTATGACAGAAAAACATGTGTAGCATGCATGGTGCCCTGGTGCCACAAAATGTTGGCTTAGTCCGGTAGATCGATTTGAGCGCATGTGTACGTCCCACAAATGAGGGGTATATTATTTAGAGATATTGTGGGGTGGTGGTGGTTTCAGTCCAAGCACCTTGGGATCATCTCATTTTAGGGTGATTTGTCCATCAACATATACATGATAAGTAGAGTCCATCCCCCTAAACTAAGCAAGCAAACATGAATGACTTTAGAAATTGTGTACAAAATCTCTTATTATGCAACTAGTTGGGGTTGGGAGGAATAGGATGTGTCTAGAAAAGAGTCAGAGCCTTATATTGGAGGCCTCCCATCGAACTCTTGTTGGCACCCGTAAACACCATGCATGGTGAGACTTTGGAACCCCTCACAATATCTCATTAACATGCACATGGACCACTCGGCGTGTCAAAGGTCTTAGATCATTGTTTGTGGCAAGGGCACGTCGTCAAGCGTGGGCACATTTTTATTATTTTAAGTAGCTTTGCATCCAACATGAGAGGTGTGAGGATGGTGGTAGCCAAGAGTGGCCTCTCGACCACGTATGAAGATTTTTATATCCATGGCCTCCATGAGATTTACAACTTTCTAGTTTTGAGTTTTTTTCATTTGAGATTGTTAAGATACTCAAAGTAAAATAATATTTTAGGAGCTTATTAACCGCCTACCAAGCTTTTCGCTTTAGAAAAATCATCTTTCTTATACGATGTCAGATAAAGATACTTTGTATATGACAATTGTAGCTCAGGATGACGGTAGCTGGAAGACAAGTGGGATGGAAGAGGAGGCTCACCATATAGGAGAGAGAGATTTCAATTTTTTGTAGCCCATTTTAACTCTATTCTCCACAGAGGCCAATAGCATTTGGTGCTCTATGCAGGAATATGCCATGTTCCTACTGCAAATGTGTTACATTTTCTTATCCTGGTGGACTTTAGAGTTTTGCATGATGCTATCAATCATTTTGACCATCTCTAATAACCTTTAATGTAGTAGTGTGTATCACA